GGAAGATAGGCCAGCAGGTGTCAAGTTAAGGGGGTGCCAGACGGGAGCGCAGCGGGAGTCAAGCCGGGAAGGGCCTTCTGTGCCTTGCTGAAATTCCTGGCCTTTCTGCTGAGCAGGAGTTGCAGACTGTGTTGAAGTTGTGAGGCCGAGCTTAGGCCACGAGGGATGATGATCTCCCCCCCTGGAGGCCGGGGAGGCGGGCTGGAGAGTGGCAGGCAGACGCCCACATTTTTATCTTGTCTGCCGGCCAGAATTCAAGAAGCTTTCGAGGAGATTTAAGAGTCACGGGATCAGATTTGCATTTTTAGGCACGTGGTTGAGACACATTGTGGAGAATGGATTTGAGGGGCCCAAGACTAGGCATAGGGAAATTGGTTGGGTGGTTATGATGTTATAGAGTAGGCCACAGAAGGAGGGACAGAATTGAGAAATATTTAGGGGGTAAAGTCAAGACGGTCATTAGCTTTGAGAAATGAGAGAGGGATGGATCACAGGGTTCCCAGCTTGGGCTGCTCATTGGTGCCGATGCCATAGGAGTGAGGTAGGAATAGAGGTGAAATAGGATTGCAGGGAGGAGCAGGGATGTGTGATTGTACATTGGTGTCCTAAATGAAGATGTCCAGCTTGTTTTAGTGGAACACAGCTTCCTGAGAAAGAGTACATAAGAAATAAAAATTTTTATTTAAGCCTAAAATGTTAGGCATGTCTAAAAATGTTACTGCTCTACCTTCACATTTATTTGCCTGAAAGTTTGGTTGAGTACAGAACTGTTGTTCCGAAATCATAAGCGTTTTGAAAACATTGTGTTGTGGTCGTCTAGTGTCCATTGTTGCTGTGGAGGAACCCAAAAACATTCTGTTCCTGTGTACCGGACTTGATTTGTGCTTTCTGGAAGCTTGTAGAATCTTCTCTTTGTCCCCAGTGTTACGACCTTTCACAAAGGTATTCCTTGCTCTGAGTCTATTTTCACCCATATTGTTGGGTACCAGAAACTCATGTCTTTCTGCTCAGTAAAATTTTCTTGAGTTATTTTGTTGTTGACTTTCCCCCTCCCATTTTCTCCATCTTCTCTTTCTTGAATTCATTATTCTGTTGTTGCTTCTATATGACTGGTTCTCTAATTTTTTAAAATTTGATCTCTTTTTTTGTTGTTATTGTTGTTAACTCTATTACAATGTCCCCCATTTCCCCCCTCTTTGCCCACCTCTACCCAGCCCCTCCCCCTCCGGTGACCTCACCACACTCTTGTCTGTGCCCATGGGCCATGCATCTATTTTCTTTGGCTAACCACATCTTTGTCTTTACTCTCTTTGGGAGATTTGTTTAACTTTATCTTCCAGTCCTTCAGTTGAGTTTTTCATTTCTGCCATAATGTTTTTAATTCTTAAGAGCTCTCTTTTGGACTCTGATGTCCTTTTTAAAAACTTTTATTTTGAAATAAATACAGTCACAGGAATTTGCAAAAATAGTACAAAGTCATCCCATATGCCCTTCACCCAGTTTCCCACAATGATTATATTTTACATAAGTACAGTACAATATCAAACTAGAAAATTGGCATTTGTACAGTGTGTGTATAGTTCTAGGCCTTTTAATCATATGTGTAGATTTAATACAATCAAGATTTGCACGTGTGTAGATTTTGCAATCGAGATAGAAAACTCTTTCATCACTACAATATCTCCCTTATACTTCCCCTTCCTGGTCACCTCCACTTTCTCCCCTTCATTATCCTAACCCCTGACAACCACTGGTGTGTTCTCTGTTTCTGCAATTTGTAATTTTGAGAATATTACATAAATAGAATCAAGCAGTATGTGACCTTTTGAGATTGGCTTTTTCCCACTAGAATAATGTTCTTGAGATGCATCCAAGTTGTTGCCTGTAGCAATAGTTCATTCCTTTTTATTGCTGATTACTATTCTGTGGTATGGATGTATAACCGGTTATTTAACCATTCAACTACTGTAGGATATTTGGTTGCTTTCAGTTCTGGGATATTACAAATAAAGATGTGAACTTTTGGGTACAGTGCTTTGTGTGATATTAAAATTTTCATTTCTCTACGACAGATGGCCAGGAGTATAGTTGCTGGGTTGTATGATAAGCTTACATTTAGTTTTTTTAGAAACAGTATATACGATAATGTCTGTACTCCATACCATATAGCCTAGGTATGTAGTAGACTATGAATGTTTGCACAATGATGAAATTGCCTAATTTCTCAGAACGTATCCTTGTTAAGTGGCACATGACTGTACAAGTTTTTGTGTGGATGTGTGTTTTCATTTCTCTAATAGTGTTTTAAAATATTTGTCCCCTGGCATAGTCTCAGTGTCCACCATATTGCTATTTTCCTATTTGTTTTGTTGGAGATGTTTATATTAGTAAACTTGAGCTGCCATAACAAAATACCATAGATTGAGTGGTGTGCACAACAGAAATTTTTTTCTCATAGTTTGGGAGGCTGGGAAGGTTAAAATCAAAGTTCTGGCCTATTTGGTTTCTGGTGAGAGCTCTCTCCTGGCTTACAGATGTGCTCATGTGACCTCTTCTTGCTGTGTGCACATGTGGAAAAGGAGCAGGCTCTTTAATGTCTCTTTTTATAAGAACACATCCTATTGGACTTGTGCTCCACCTATATGACCTCATTTAACTTAATCACCTCCTAAAGACCCTATCTCCAAGTACAGTTACATTAGAGATTGGGGTTTCAATGTATGAATTTTGGGGGACACAATTCAGTCTATAGCATGTTCTCAGACTTCTTTTATACCACTGAGCCAAACCAGCTAGGGCTATTCCTAAATTGTTAATTTATGTTTTACTGTAGGAGACTTAAAAATGTGATTGGAATCTTCATCTGTTTCGGAGGGGCTTGGTGATGATGAGCTTAATTATAGGAAGATCTTACTGAACCACGATTTGGGGACTCCCTCTCCCAATGTTCCCTCCCTTCATCTCTTTTCTTTCAGGCTGGTCATTTTCCTCAGAGCACCCCACTCTCCTGAGAGTAAAAGCCTGGTCGAATTCCTGAAGGAATTACGGCTAGGGGCTAAATCTCAACACTAGTGTGCATCACTTACTTAAAACCCCTGTTTTCAGTAATGATATCTCTACCTTTCCCTATCTATGTCTGGAGACCTCCCAGTCCAGAAACCCTTTACAGGGAATAAATCTATAGATATGCACCATGGTGGAGAGAGGCAATCACCCCATGGCACAGAGAGGAGAAGGTTTTGGAGATCCAGTTGCTTCTCAATTAGTCTCCATCCATTCTTCCTTATTTCAGCTACTCCTTTTATGCCCTTCTTTGGAGGTGCTTGAGGTTGTCGATTCCTAAGCTTTTAAGAATTGTTTTTGACTCTCCCTTTGACTTTCTTGAGTCCATCAAGTCATTTTCACCTGTTGTTGTGCTTTCTAGATTTCAGAAATCTATTGCTATCACTTTTCCCATGCTCTCTGTTT